GGGGGGTACTCGATAAGCTGATATGGTCGGTTCACCCAAAGGAGGTTAATGCCATTACAGGGGAGCTGTGTCATCTTGAAGCCAGAGGTCAAGGTTTTGGGGTTCTTTAATGCACAACCAGTGATCTGAGCAAATAAATCGTGAAAATTCTTTTCTTCAATTTGTCAATTTAAAAGTATTATACCCTCATCCACTTCACACTGCTATGTCAGGGCTTATTGAATTGCCTATGCAGTTTAGATGATGGCTTGTTCTCTTCGATGATTTATGTATAATCTGTTTGTTTGGAGAACCCCCGATTACCTCTTATCATATGAAATCCCCTTTTCTGAGATGATTTCTTCATCTTCGTATCATTCAATGTATTTAATAGATAGCGAACAAGAGGGAAGCCTTGTTTACGTGTATGCAGCATGAATTTTAAATAACTCCTTATAAAGGTCTCAGTACATTTAAACACTCAAATCTGCAGCAAAGTTACTGTAAAAATTTCTCAAGCCTGGAGTGCGATGGTAAATTGCCCTCCCGATGGGAAAATTGGAGCTGAAGCTCTAATATTTTATTTTACATTGCGATAAAGTTAAAACCTGCAATTTCATGAATACGCTCTCATCAAATGATTGCAGAAAGTGTAGAAAATGCGTTGTTTGCATTTCTAAAATGATCTGTCAACATTTGAACTTCTCGGAATTGCTCGTGATACAATTCTGGAAGAAATTTATTTAACCTACGTTACATTTCGTACCTGTGAAGAGGCTTGTTTCTCTTGAGAATCTTTTTCCGTCGATTCTGCGCCATAAAAGCGAACTCAGCGAAGACGGGCTCCGTTTGCTACTGAACAAGTTATAAGTAGTTTAAGCATTATAGCTACTTGATACAATGTAATGGTATACCGGGAAAACATGAAATCAATTATTTTATCATTTCTAAAAGAAAATTTTTATTTCTTAGAAATAAAAGATCTTGATGTTGATGTATCTGTAATGATATTCTGACTTTGGCATAAACGTTTCCATTTTCGCAAGTGTTCGGCCAATTAGGGTCTTCTATACGAAGTCATACTCCATTTTACAATTCATATGACTAAGTCATATGACCATTCAGTAATCTTCCAAAGAATTAGTGGACATGAGCTTCGTGCGGAAATTCCTGGTCGCCTTTGCGTCTCCTGAGTAAATACTGCTGTAGCTGTCTATAGCAATTTTTATACTTAAAAAGCGTAGCAATTCTAAGATGTGTTGCTAAACTCGTAAAAGTCCGTAATAGAAAGTCGCCCTTCAACCACCCTCTTTTGTAAAATAAAGGGAATTGGATAACGTGTAAGAACTGGTCTGTTTAGTGAGTGAGTTCAATGAAGCGAGAAAAAGGTCTACTATGCAAATCAAAATCGATTAATGAGACTTTATTCTCATTCTAGGGGCCATTTACCAAAGGTAATCGATTCGAAGTAAGCCTCACTAATGAGTCATCATGTTCTAAGTCGTGTATTCTGCCCCCCCCCTCTCCACCTATCTGTAAATGCTTATGAAACAATAGGATATGTGTTCAACACTTACTAACCAGGTAGACGGATTTCTTAGCAAAAATTTAGGTCAAATAACGTCAGCTAAGACATTTCCAAGGTATTCTCAAGCAAGTCAATTCTTATGAAAACATGTTCAGACTCAAGTCAGGTGCTAACTTAACTTCAACGCGTTGCATCTCATCTGAAAGCCCAAACGATTGAAAGTTACCAAAAATCTCAAACAATGTCTCACCTCAGAAACGGTACAATAAAGGTCAGTAGGTGCAACATGTATTCAATAATTCATGTTCATACATAAAATGCTAAATATCATTGAAGAAAGTGATATCTTGTTAAAATCTGGGAGCTCCTGCAGTTGAAATTTATGAATTGCAAAAAATGAAGAAGTTGTGGCAATTCCACCTAATTTTATATTATATTTCAGAAAAACTATTATGGTTTAGTGAGACACACCTCTAACCCAAATTAGAGGATTGGGCTGAAGCTTTCATCTTGGGTAGCCGGACGGTGATTTGGAACCACCCTAATAAGAATTGTCGCATCTTACAACATTATATATGAGCCAATGAGCATCGTGCTCTTAACTCAAGTACACAAACAGTTGAAATAAGCATTATCAAAGGTGCCAGGAGATTGCAGCAAAGCTAACCTACTGATCCTTCCATTAGCAGTTGATGAGAGAGCGCCAAGACACTAGCCGACATCGCCAAGTAAAAAAGATCGTAGTCTGTGTGCCCCCCCCCCCCCAGTGCTTCAACGCCATTCACCATCTTTCTAAAATACGCAAATAGTTGCTCCGATAGAACCTTGGTTAATATAACAGTCCATGCAACTCAATTTCAACACATCGAGATTTCGAGTAACATGACCAGACACATTAATAAATACCTAATAAATCGATGTGGACGGCACCTAAACGAGAGGGGGAGGGGTTATAGAACAGAGCCATCAAAGAGCAGCAAAGAAGACAGCTTACTAAAGTTTAAATTTGAAATGTATTTCAATTTATAGGGCCTATTTCTGTCCATTTCGATACTTTTATCGACTTGTGAGTAGTGATGTGTCTCACAATAAATCATGATTTCGACACATCATTTTTATTCTGTTATTACCTAGCTCAATCTTTGATATTCTTATTAGAATTAAAACCCACCAGGTGATTCGTATTGATGTCATTTGATCATTTGTCACTGGCGTACATATTTTAACATTTTCCAATAATTTACTGCCTCTAAGCTTTCAAATTTTTGGCTCAACCATAATATATATTTCGTTGGAAGACTGGTCAAAGTTTCCCCACTCATTGAACATCTTGACGTTTTGTAATGACTCATCATGTTCAAACACCTGGGCACATATGTCAGTTGCCAGACATGTGGCGAATATTCTGAACAATTATGCTACCTAGCGCTACCCTATGAAAATATGGACTGCTTTCGATCAATACCAATAAAATAGTAGGCATTGCTATTATCATGTATTTTTCATCCGCTATTAAGAAGGAATGTTGGTTACTTCACCTAGTCGTAAAGATTTTATCATAACCCCAAGAACGTAAGCTGAATTAGGGTAAAAATTCAATAGTTTTGAACGCACACTAGAAATATCACCTGTGTACAAGATGCATCAATGATTGGTAACAATGGTCGTCTCCAGACGATCAGATGAGTGACTAAATAAGGGTTTTTCATGAAAGCGATCTTCTATCCATCCAGACCTCAAGGTGCAACGAACTTAAAGCTCGAACAAAAAGAGAATTCAAGACCTCAAGGTGCAACGAACTCAAAGCTCGAACATAAACAGTGGACAGTGGCACTCTCCGACATAGACGACTGGCCAAGAACCGAAGCCGTTGTTGAGTTTAGACTATTGGCCAAGAATCGAAGCCGTTGCTGAGTTTAGACTACGTACGGACAGATTGCATCAAAACACCTTCACAGATTGAGAGTATACACTCAACCCACATACTCTATGTAACCTACAGGAGGAAATGGAGAAGTCCCACCTGTCTATGTGACCTACAGGAGGAAACGGAGAAGACCCACCATATGTAACCTACATGAGGAAATGGAGAAGACCCATCTGATCTGTAACCTACAGGAGGAAATGGAGAAGACCCACCTGATTCTGAAATGGAGAAGACCCACCTGATTCGATGTCCAGCCCTAACGACGGAAAGCCAGAGATACTGGGAAGCAAGAAGACAGCTTACGGAAAGCCAAAGATACTGGGAAGCAAGAAGACAGCTACGGAAAGCCAGAGATACTGGGAAGCAAGAAGACAGCTACTCCGGAAAGCCAGAGATACTGGGAAGCAAGAAGACAGCTACAGGAAAGCCAAAGATACTGGGAAGCAAGAAGACTGCTAATGCACTGCTATTGATTAACTGCTATAAATGTACCCACCCTTCCTTGGGGGAAGCTGAAGTCAAAGTTAAATTGCGAATGATACCCCTCCAATGTACCCCCCACCCTTGGGGAAGCTGAAGTCAAAATTCGGAAAACCAGAGATACTGGGAAGCAAGAAGACAGCTAATGAATTGCTGTTAATAACCGCTATAAATGTACCCCCCCCCCCTCTTGGGGAAGCTGAAGTCAAAGATTAAGGTAAGCAAGAAGACTGCTAATGAACTGCTATTAATTAACTGCTTTAAATGTACCCCCCCCCTCTTGGGGGAAGCTGAAGTCAACATATGTACCCCCCACCCTTGGGGGAAGCTGAAGTCAAAGCTATTAAGGGCTAATATGATAGATATCATAAAGCCTGCCATTTGAAATAAATGATGAGGCAGACCCCTGGGGGAAGCTGAAATCAAAGTTTAAGGGCTAATGATAAATATCATTACCCTTGGGGGAAGCTGAAGTCAAAGTATAAGGGCTAATGATAAATATCATAAAACCTGCCATTTGAAAAAAATCTTCTATCCAAGTCACATGGTGTTATTTGGACCAAAAAAATCTTAAAAGAAGCAGTTCTGCTGGGTCTAACATCTTATTTTCAAGTAGTATATGAAAATAAGATTCTTTTTCACATACTGTTTTCGTTTAGTAATGAACCAGTACGTTCTGACTTTTACACAAGGGCCAAAAAAAGAGAGATAAATAAAACTTGGGAATTCTTTTGGACTTTCCACTTAGAGCTTTACGGAAGGAAATTTGCACTTAAACAAACAGCAACAAAACTCAACTAAAGATGCTGTAATGCTTAAAATAATTTTATCTTTAAAAATTCAAATAAACGCTAGCCTTATGTTATAATTTCTGAATGAAGAATACCAATCTTATTTGGAATTTTTTTAGACTTAAGACAAGGGAAAATTGCTTTTTCACCGTTGCTTTTAAGTAATTCAACTTATTGTTACCGTTGTTACAAACATGAATGTATATTAGACCCATTGACAAATTCTTGAAATGATTTTTTTTCTCTTCTTAAGCATTTTTTTCCACTTTTTGCATGATTTCCGTTATATTATTCCAATCAGTCGGTAAAAAATCAAGTCAACACCCGGATGAAGGTCCAATATAACAAAGCCTTTCATTCGGATCAATAATTGACATCTCAACTATAAAAAAATACTTGATTCTGAGAAAATGGTATGCTTGATGTAAACAACTAAATGAGAGCATTTTATTTTTGTTTCAAAATCATAGAATTATAAAAAAATTCATGGCATTGATGCATTTTTATCACAACCAACCAATGACAAGCAGGAAAGACGAAGCCCCGATTTAAGTAAATTATTTAAAATGGGGACCAAATATCAAAAAACTTTTCACAACAAATAAAAGCAGAGAGCACTGTCTTTCAAATAATACACACATATATAATTTTTAAACAAAGACATTTTGTATAATTTGATATAAAACTTTTAATTGGGGAAAACTGTTATAGAAATCTCTCCTAGGTACCCTAGAACAGACCACTTTTACAGATACTTTTCAAACATAAATTCAAATGAAATTGTGTTTACCATCTAAATAAGTCTTTTTCATAATAAATATCAAAGATAATACTCAGATATAAGCTTTTAGTAATTTTGAATTTTAAGTTCAATTTCATTAATCAATTTGCTTTCGTTCAATTTCTACATTCAGGCTTTTATTGTCATCCATAGTTCAGGATAATCGTATTTAGTTCGGATGCATTAGATAGATAATTTAATACTAAAACTGTTGCATTTAGTATTTTTGCAAATTTATTATTTTTATTATGTAAAAATACCATTTATTTAACACCACTCGACTATTATATTTCCTAAATGCGTACGCATGTCCTCATAAGTGCAACGTGAATAGTGTGCCGCGAGGTGAGACAGCTGGCTTTATTAATGTTTTAGGTGTTTTGACGACCCCTCCATATAATTCGCTGATCGTGAAGTGTTGCAATGGTCGCTGCTACTGCATCTGCTCCTAAATCGCCCAAGGCTCCAAAGGCACCCAAGGCCAATAAGGCCCCTACTGCTCATCCTCCTTTCGCCAAGATGATCATTGAGGCCATCGCCGCCATGAAGGAGAAAGGTGGCTCAAGTCGTCAAGCTATCCTTAAGTACATCAAGAACCACTATAAGGTTGACGAGAAGATTGCTGAGGTCAATGTTCGACGAGTTCTTGTCTCGGCCACCGCTGCTGGCAAACTAGTTCGCGTGAAGGGTGCTGGCGCCAGCGGTTCCTTCAAGATTTCCCAGAAGGCTGAGAAGCCAAAAGCCGCGGTCAAGAAGCCCAAGAAGACGGTGCCCAAACCAAAGACCACTCCAACTAAGAAGGCTTCAACAGTAAAGAAGGCCCATCCCAAGCCTAAGAAGCCTGCCTCCGCCTCTAAGCCCAAGAAGGTCGCAGCAAAAAAGCCTAAGAAGCCCGCGGTGAAGAAAACCCCCAAGAAGGCCCCAGCTGCCAAGAAGTAGACGCTTTGGTGTTTCTTAGTGTATCTTATATTTTATACTTGTATCTGTGTATATATTTTTATGAATAATATTATTTCAATATCCATTCACCGTGATTTGTGGTGGCTGCTTTTGCTGGGTGTGGGGGCTGTGGTATTATGGGGTGCAGCGCGGTTGGAGTTCACCTTCAGTGGTGTGGTTGTTCAATGGGGTTGGTGCGTCGGTAAATTGGTTGTGGCTGCTGGTTCCCCCAGCGGGATGCTTTTCGTGCTTCCAAGTACGCCCGTGGAAGTTGTGGACTTTCAGGGGATTAGTTCCCGGGCCTCCTGGGTACTTGCTGGGGAAAATTCTCTAATTACTTCACTTTTGGAACCATAGTGATCATGAAAATCCACATTGATCTACGACCATGATTTCAATTTCGCTAATTCAACCCCTCTCCCCCACCCGCCTAAGTGGCGTCAAGTCGATTCGCTACACCTATCAGGTTTAGAAAATCTCCGTAATGCAGTAATTTGAATTTTTAAGAAAAATTCTGCATGGAAAATCAATCCACACTTAAATCGAAAATTTGAGCAATTACTGAAGAGAACTGCCTAATTTCAAAATCATTGTAAAAATACACAATTCGCACTTATTGTTTGAATGAACTCGATAAAGGATATACCAAATGGCAGGCGTTTTAATAGTAATCATTGGCCCTTTAGTTGACTTCGGGCTTCACAGAGAGGAGGAGGAACCCTTTAGTTGACTTCGGGCTTCACAGAGAGGAGGAGGAACATCAAAGGTGTAAAAGAGACAGACATAAAGATAGAAAAAAGGTTAGGTGAGTACTGTGAAAGGGGTCGAATATGACAACCAGGAGGGTCATGGCAGTTTGAAGTCAAAAGTCAACTGCCGTTTTATAGACTTTTTGCCGTATGAGTATACGTTGCCCAGAGTGCACCACGTGGAGATAAGTCTATCGCACACCAACTCGACAATAGAACAGTTATACTAGCGTGATATTCTAATTTGATATGAATGAGCCATAGGGTGGGATTCTAGATGAAACACGCTTTCTTGGAATTTTCTCCCACCAAATGCTAAGATTACAAACTGTTTCGAAAAGGAATACCTTCACAAGTTAATGCTTCTATATCCCATATCTAACACAGTCGGTTTTCACTGAAAATCTACAGAGAATTTAGCACATTGGGATCATAAACAAGATAAAATATTCAAACATGGTTGACCTGATTTAGGTTTTGACCTCAGATGGAAATGTGTTTCAGCGGGTGGCAAAGTTCTCTAGCAGTAGTGATGAATTTTTGGGCTCCGATTCGAGGTCATGAAGGCGGTGGAATTAGTAATTTTCAAAATCATAGAATTTTGACATGTGTATGGGTTGGTATATTTAATTTGTTGAAAAAAAAACGAAGGAAAAATCAAGTAGTATTTCGTTTATTTAGACACGCTTTACCCCAGCAAACTGCCTCTTGACATCACCTGATTCAACTATTTGACAAAGAGGCGCATTCTTCAATCCAATTGGAACCCTTGTATGCTGCGAAAGAGCTTGCGTCGCACTGTGGTCCTCGAGACTAAATTTTCACTAGTTGTCATTCTACCGAATCATAATTAAATCATTAGTGTACCTTAAGCAAGTGTATTGTGAGTAAAGGAATGTCTTATCACAATATCTATTGAAACAGATCACTGCTAAATTTTTCCCAATTTTCAAATTCCTTTCTCTGATCACAAAACCAAATTCATTAAACCATAAACGCTTGGATATTGTGGAATTAGGTCAAAAGATCAATGGAATGGGGTGTGCGTTAGACTTACCTCCACGTGGGGCACTCTGGTAAACGTATACTCATACGACAAAAAAGTCTATTAACTGGCAGTTGACTTCTGATTTCAAACTATCACCAACCTCACTGTATGGTCATATTCGACTATTTCCAAAGCACTCATCTTTCCTTTTCTCTGCCTTTTGTCTGTCTGTCGCAGTTACATTTGTGAATCATTATTCTATCCCCCCCTCTCGACTTTTTGTCACCTTGATGTTCCTCCTCCTCCTCTCTGTGAAGCCCCAAGTCAACTAAAGGGCTAATGATAACTATCAAAACGCTTGCAACTTGAAAAAAATGATCAATGGACTTAAGCGAATCCGCTCTGTTGATCTCATTAACTGATCTCAGACAATAGTGTCTGGTTGGTAGCCATGATGACGTTTCAATGCTGATTTCTACATAGGAGGAGATGTGAAGATGTCAGAAATTCCTCTCCTTTGCTGCCAATGTGGCCTCGAGTATTGAGTGGGCAGATAATCTCTAGAAGAGTGAGGAGTAAGTGAATGGGATAAAATTTTCAGTCTTTTTTGTTGCGGAATCATTATCGGTGGGATACACCGATAGAAATAACATTAAAATTAGTTTAATTTCTCCCATTTTTTGTTTTAAACAGAAATATGCAGATATTTTTAGTAAATAGTTAATCACGCTGCCTTACATCAGCGAGTATTATTCAATCTACTACTCCCAAAATTGATATTCTCCGCGGATGTTGACAAGTAAGTTGACAGTAGAAATCTTTTATGTCTAATTAATCTGTTATCTGCTAATAAAGCCTGATCAGGGGTTTGGGATAAACTTCATTCCACGTGGTGCACCCTGAGCAACGTATATTCATACGGCAATGGAAGTCAATAAAACGACAGTTGACTTCTGACTTTAAACTACCATGACCCCACTGCATGTCATATTCCACCACTTCCACAGTACTCACCTAATCTTTTTCTCGACTTTTGTGTCAGTCTGCCTCTTTTATATCTGTGAATCACTCTTTTGATCCCCCCTCTCCACTTTTTGTGGCTTTGATGTTCCTCTCCTCTGTGAATCCCGAGGTTAACTTAAGGGCCAGCAATAACTATCATAAAGCCTGACATCGGATATAAGTAGACAAATACATATTGTCCAATCCCAATCATAAGGTCAGTCACCAATGCTCCCCGATTAGTGATCATTTAAACTTTTAATATTAAGAAATGTCAGCCATTACGACTGATCAACCATGACATCACCAGATGATTGCTCTGTCTTGGTAACAGGCGTATTCGAAGTCAAGTTCTAAGGTTGGTAGACATGGCACCAACAGCGCTGGTTACTAAGGCAAGGTTGGTTGCTGTCAACGCGGTTATTATATGTTCACTTGGTCGTTGGCTTGAATACTTCGTTAATAAGAATGTAAACATTTATCAGTCAAATTGTATGTTCCTTTCGTATTCGCCTTCGCGATTTTAATTACCTAATAAAAAATTATCTCAAATGACAGGCTTTATGATATTTATCATTAGCCCTTATACTTTGACTTCAGCTTTCCCCATGTGGGGGGGGGGTACATTTATAGCAGCTAATTAATAGCAGTTTATTAGCTGTCTTCTTGCTTTCCAGTATCTCTGGCTTTCCGTACTTGTCTTTGGGGCTGGACACCGAATCAGGTGGGTCTTCTCCATTTCCTCCTGTAGATTACATAGGGAGGCATGTGGGTTGAGGGTATACTCCCAATCTGTGAAGGTGTTTTGCCAGGCAACCATGTCCGGTACGTAGTCTAAACTCAGCAACGGCTTCGATTCTTGGCCAGTCGGTTATGTCGAAGAGAGGCACTGTCCACTGTTTCTCCTTTGTTTGACCTTTAAGTTCGTTGCACCTTGAGGTCTTGAATTCTCTTTCGAGCTTTAATTTCGTTGCACATTGAGGTCGGGAATTCTTTTCTGATTAAGGCCTTCATTGTGTGGGAAGACCCCGGTCCATAATCTTCATTGTGTGAAAAGACATCGGCCGGCCAATAAAGAAATTTAATTCCTTCTATTTTTGCTTTAGGCAAGTTATTAGACAGAATGTTTATTAATTTTAATCATTTTTCATTAGTCTACTAAATTTCATGGTGATAGAGGAAAAGGTAGAAGTTGTGTTGCAATCAATTTGTAACATATATTCAGAAAAAAAGTTTTTTTTAAAAGTGACCTATATCAATGTTAAATCGTTGTTTTTTTTGGCAAACTGACCTTGTAGCTAAAATTTTCTAACTATTCAATATGTGAAACTTATAGCTGTCAAGCAACTTGTCTTTATTGGTCTTTGTTTTCAAATTCATCAACTATCTATTCACTCATTCACTCATTCATTCATTCAACATTCCATGTCTTCAACTACTCACGTAGCATTTGGCGACTGATTCAGCAAAGCGGCTGATGAAATTCGAAATGACTTACAGAGCTTAATATATCTCTTACCTATCGCTAGTATGTGCAGGTGATGTCTAACAAGAACTTGAAACATCTTCGCCTTTGTGAACGAGAA